GGCGCCGCTCCTCGTGCGCGCACAGGTGCAGCGAGTCGCCCAGCACGGCGCGGCAGGCGCGGCACTGGAACACGGCGCACTCCTCCGGCCGCGGGCCCCGCCGCCGCGGCTGCGGCGCGGTGGGAGCGGGAGGAGCGGGCGGCGGCGGCGGCCGCTCCACGGTGACGACGCCGCCGAGCTGCGGGTCCTGGAAGAGCTCCTGCAGGCGCCGCCGCACCGCCATCTCCTCCCGCCCCGCGTTCGAGAGCGGCACCCGCCTCCGCGGCCTCCCCATTGGGGCGCGGCGCGCTGCCCCGCGCCGCCACTGGGCGCCGCGCACGTCAATCGCCGCCCCTTGAGGCCATTGGGAAATAGGCGGCGGGGGCTCCCTCCAAGGCCCAATCGGGCAGCAGGAGGCCGGGCTTCCCCTTGCCATGGGCGCCAATGGCTTTTGAAAAAAACACAACGCCATGTCCGCGCTGCCATTGGTGGAGACGCTGCCGCCGGGCCCGCCCCCTCCGCTGGCTCCACCAGTGGGAGGGCGCGGCGGGCCCGTTCGAACGGCCGGGGGGCGGGGCGCTGTGGCCGTTGGGCGCGAGGCTCCGGGCGCGGCGGTTGGTGGTGCTGCCGTTATGGCGCTCTCCTCGATCCAGCAGCTCGACTCGCTCAAGTACATCGAGCTCCAGCGCATAGCCAAGGGCGCCGGCCTGAAGGCCAACCTACGGGTGAGGCACGGCGGCCGCCTGGCCGCGGGCGGGGGACGGGACGGGACGGCAGCGCCGGGGGGCAGTGCGCCCGGGCGGCCTCGCGGCCGTTGTTCCGCTTCTGGCCACGTATCAGAGTACCGCATATTCCTCGTTGCCACGAGGAAACTGCGGTACCTTCGAGTACTGGCGCGGCGTGGGCAGCGGCGGGAGGTTGGTGGCTCGGTGCTTTCCCCCTGGTCCGTTCCTCACCGTCTTCGGTAACGGCTGATATCGGGATGGGGAGCAGGGTAGTCACGGGGAGCCCTTCGAGGCGAGGGCGGGTTTGCTGCCTTATGGGCAGGCATTAAGAACGAAGAGCTAACGCGCGTGCTCCTCTGCTTTGCCTGTGCCCCTCCGGGCACTTGACAGTTGTCCAGCCCGGCCTGAGCTCTGCAGGTGCTGCCGGTAACTCCCCCAGCAGGAGGCAGGCCTAGAAGGTGTAGAGCCTTCAGAAACAAAGACACAGCCTCAAATCGAGCCGTTGTTTGGTGTTGCTGAGACTTCTGCTGGGCTTGTGGTTCCGGGTTGCTTTGTGTGTAACTTCTAGTTTTCTGATTAACTAAAGTCAGATATGATTTTATGCTGGCCTGTTTAAATATTTAGAAGTATTTTATTTATAGCTTAAAACACGGACAGTGTAATTTTTTATTATTATTATTCTGTGTGAAGATGGAGAAGGGATGAGAAGACTGCTTTGCATGTAGTATTGTGCAAAACAAGAAAAAAAAAATCAGAAATCGAGTGCAATTTCATTTGAGTTCAGTTACCCTGCTAAACAGTCTCTTTTATCCCGGAATAATCAAACTTACTGGAAGAAAGACCAGAAGAAACCTAGTTGAAGAAATCTCTCTTTGTGCTTCTGTGAAGTGTATGCTATAAATTTAGCCTGGGCATTAAGTATGTTCTCAGACTTGACTAATTTTAATGAGGCTCCACACATACCTTAAGATTTTTCTTTTATTGTATTCAGTAAATGTTTTACTGTCTTGGCCTGATATTAGGCTGCTACAGGGATTTGTGCAGGACTCTGATCATTTAACACAATCTTTGGTTCATATCTAATCAAAACATGTAACATTCTGATTTCTCTGCAGGCAGACAAATTGTTGAAAGCATTGAAGCAACACTTTAATGGAGCAAATCAAGAAAATGAAAATACGGTAACAATGAGAAAGTAGCTATTCTCTTTAAGAAAGATACATCTACTCCTGTTACTAGTGAAGTAATGACATATAATGAAGATTGTATTTAATAGAGTGCAAAATAATAGTCGGTTTTTTTTTTTTTTTTTGATAGTGCCTTCAGTTTAATGTACTTGCATACAGACTGAGACAGCTGTGTTGGTATTGGCTTTAAAGTGGGACCATGTATGATTGAAGGCTTGTTTTACACTGCCAAAAATAGCAAAGTGTTTTTCAACATAATTGCAAATTTATTCTACATGAACTCTAGTGTTTCAGGTTTCCAATGACCATATCTTAATTCTTATCTGTTTAGCTCCAAATGGTAGTCAGTACCAAATGTAAAAGTGTCTAGATGAAAGGAGCCAGATATTCATCTCAAGGCATTTTCTATCAACTGCCACTTATTTATTGGTGTTACAACAAAAGATACAACTGGGGTGTTCCCTTTAATCATCTATTAATATGTTGCTTTCTTAAAGCTTTCCCCTTTGTAAGTTAAGACATTTTGGAATCTGTTTAACACATCCGTTTCCTTTATAATCTGCTTATTTTAAAACATGTGGAGTAACCCTTCTATTTGGTAGTTTAGCTTTACTAAACTTTGATGTGTGCGTAAGTAACAATGTAAATGTTAAACATTTTTCGACATATATACAGCCTTGTACAAAAAAAAAAAAGGCACATAAGTTTTATGTTATGATATATATCTGCTACAGGATTTGGAAAAAAGTGCATCTGCTTCCATCGAATCAGATGAACTAAACAGTCAGGAGGAATCTATGCCTGATCAAGGGTGCTTTATCACAAAAAGACGTGGAAAAGAAAAGAAAGCAACCAGGAAAAAGAGCAATTCCCGGGAGGAGCCTAATAGCAGTGAAGACGATAAAGGACTTTCTGCTGAGAAAGAGGTGATTAACATTGTTTGGGATTGTTTACCCTGTCTCCCTTCTCTCCCTCCCAAACACGTATATGAAGCATAAGTTAAACAGAGCTTTGTTTCATTTTACCACTTGTTAACTGGTAACATACCTTTTTTGGTGAGCAGATCTACTGGTGTTGTTAGTCTTTGGTGCTTTTTAGCACTGTTTTTTTGTCTAATTTGTCTATGTGCTACTCAAAAATGAACAGATAACTTTTTCTTAGTGTACACTTTCAGCTGGAGGGTGGAGGGGGGAAATATTAATTGAAGAAGTTTACTTCTTCCAGGATTTATCGTTCAAAGTAATTTATCAAAATATATCCACTGGTTCATCATAGTGTTCAACTGCATGTTAGACTACCTTCAAAACTTACCTATAATGGATGTATTTTCACTTTCCTATGTAGTAAAAATCAGAGAATTTTGATATGAATTCCTTTGTTTCTAGCTTTTTAAAAATAGCTCCTAAATTATTTTCTAAAGGACTATGTATAAAGATCAGCAACAAGGCGGATTAATTGTTCTAAGAGCCTGGAAGTTTTTTGTATCTCTCAATTTCAAAATAATAGGTGGGAGTGTTTGACTGGGAGGGGGAAGATGTGTGTGTGTGTGTGTGTGTGTGTGTGTGTGGCTTGTTTGTTTGTTTTATATGATTCAGAAGGGGATAGTTTTCTTGAAGTAAGATTCCCCACCATTGCTCATAAAATCCCATGTAGGTAGTGGGCGAATTAAGAGAACGTTATGAACAACTTTTATTGGTGCCAAGTTAGAGGAGGAATGTGAGAAGAAATCATTTTTAGGTGCTAGTCTTTCTTATATTGTTCCAATGAGCAAAAAGCCTACAGTAATCACAACTACATCAGCAAAAAATAACATGACTGACAAATTTGTTTTGCTAATAGAATTGATTTTATTTTAAAACGTTATAGCTGTGCAGGTGCACAGGATAGACTCTGTTAAAAGCAGGGTCAGCTGTGAGGTCAGACCATGTTGCACAGGGCCCTTTGTGTTTTGGTCTTGGAAAGCTCCAAGGATGGAGGCTGCTATAGCTCCCTGGAGCAGCCTGTTCTAGTAGCTGGCTGTCCTCGGAGTGAATGTCTTTCCTGATACCCAGGTGGAACAATCGGCCTAACCAAAGTATGTTTAAACCACAGGAGCATTCAGAAATGAAAGAAAACAACATACCTCAAAATGAAAAGGGAAAGAAGGTATTGCAAAATGATGAACCAGTGGCTAAAAAGAGAACTATTGAGAATTCGGATGTGGATATGGGGCAGAAAGAGCAACCAGAGAAGATTTCTACTAAAAGAAATGGAGTGGAGAGTAAGTAAAAATCTCCAAAAGAGTAAGTTTATTCATTTGTCCTGCTTAATCAGATGTACTTTTTTGTTGTTCTATGTCCACAAAGATTTTTGTGGAATGCTGGTGATCTAATAGACCTGTTGTACTTCACTGGAGGCAACCCCAGAAGAATCTGTTTAATATGGGCCAATGTGCTTGCTTGCTTAATACATGGTAAGGAAAGTCCAGATAGTTCACAATCCTGCTGTTTTATTTTTAGTGAAGGAGTTCTCAAAGATTCCAGTGTATTTGGATCTTGTACCTTGTTTAGGATCAGTGTCCCTAGGAAAACTTTTGATAGGCTACTCAGCCCCTTTGCAAAATGACAAGAAAAGAAGAACTTTCTTCCTCACGCTTAATATTTTTTCCTACTTTCTGAATTCAACCTGAAGTCCATGTAGTCTGTAGTGTTTTGTTTGGTTGTTTTTGTTTGCCCTTTTTCTGTTTTGAAATATAATTAAGTGCTAGAATATGAACGTAACTTTTAATACTGTACTAAGAAACTAAAAACATTGGCAAAGACAAGAATAAAAAAAAAAGCTGACCTGAGAGCAGAAATGATAAGAACACATGCTCTCTATGTAAGCCAGTGGCTGAAGGGTTTGCCAAAATGTATTTATTCTATCAGGTATCCTAGCTTAAAAATCACTAGCTTGTTAAGCAGATAAGACTTTGTGTGAATTTAAAGTTGTAACAAGCAGTTTTCTTGCTAATTCTCCATATAAAATATGGGGAAACAATTTTAAATAGAATAATATAGCTGGATTTGCAGATTCATGTTGGGCTTGTAGTTCACCAAGACGTGTCATTACTGACATACACCATTTAAAAGGCTTTTGAGAAATGAAGATAAATTTAATTGACTTTTTATCTCTCATAGCAAAGAGGTACTTTGAGGACATTAGAAGCGTGTGCTCTAATGTATATCCTGAGATTTAAGTAGCTTTATAAAATAGGCCTTAGTAACACTTAATCAATGTCCTGTACTTCTAACCACTTTGGCTAATCTTGCTGCCCTTGGTGATGCTCTTCCAGCTCATCCTGCAGGAGGGAAGATCCCTTTATATGTAGGCCGTGCATCAAAGTCTGGGAAAACGGGAATGAAAGCTACCACACCAAGTAAGATTCCTACTGTCTCTATAAAAGCGTTGTCTGTGCATGAATGGAAACTTGCCTTACAATTTTTTACAAATCAAACTTTTCCTTCGGTCTTGAAAAAGGAAAATATCCTGTCTTTAAGGAAGAGACTCCAGAAATTTACACAGGAGGTTTATTTTCCAGTACGTTTTTTGTTTATTTGTTATAGTAAATGACTTGCATTCCTAATATTAAAGTCATTTATTGAGTGTTTTAATGTATTATTGATCTAATACTTATATTCATAGTGGTCAGAACAAGAAAGTGCAGGAAGACATGCCATGATTTCTGCTTATTTAGCTTTAACTCATTACTTAGTAAATATTTCTCTTGGGGTAGATTAACAGGTATTGGCCCATTTTGATCACTGTGAAAAATAGAAACATGCACTTTATCTGGTGATCCAATACATCTGAGGAAGCTTTTTTAAATATCTGGTGAAGCAGATCTTATTTTGTGTTTGATCACATGTGGATACAAAGACTTTTAATAAAGGTGGCACTATATTTTCTCCCAGCCTTCAGTGACAGGTGTTGCAATTTTCTTCTGTTCTGTGCAATAGTATTTTTTTCTTAGGATCCTATCAGATATGTAACTCTCATTTTTGGAACTTCTTAGACTTCAAAAAGTTACATGAGGCTCATTTCAAGAAAATGGAGTCTATTGCTGACTACATTGAGAGGAAAAAAAAGATTATTGAAAACTGCAGCAGTTCTCTCAACGAAGTCAAGGTAACTTCTAACATGGGAAGACATTCACTGTTCACAGTTGTTTAAAAATCAGTGTTAATTTATCTCCACAAATGAATTCTTTTAAAAAATCCTGCAGAAGCTCTGTAGAGCTAGAGAGTTTTTCATGTGTTCATGCAATTTCACTGACCATAGCATTCCACTGAACTGGAGCCCTATGTAACTCATTATATATTACTTATATATGCCTTAAAGATTTATTTAACTTGTATAGTTAATATAACTATACATTTATAAATAGTTATTAATGCCACTTCTGAGGAAGTTATAAATGTGTGTCATAGTTGCTTTGTGGAGCTTATTCTGAAACTTTTATTTCTGTTTGAATTGCTACTGAATCATTCTTCAAAAAGCAGAAGTTAAACATTACTCTTTTCCTCCTTTAATTTATATGCATCACGTGTTATTTTTGGTGTCCCTGATTGCCAGTTCTTGAATTTTATACTTGAATATGTGAGAAGTGAAAATAGAGACTACTTTCTAGGAGTGTAGTAGACTTGAATGGTGTCAGATCTAACGGAATAAGACTTAATGTCAATGTATCCAAATCCCGGTGTCCTCAATGTTACGCTTTTTTATGACAGACACAATGTGTATATAGATTTACTTTATTTTTTGGCAGGTACTGGCCAGAAAAGCTAATCATTTAAGAGTATCAGAAAAAGGCACTCCACATAACAATTCTAAGGTACATGTTTTTTCAGATCACCTTCTGTGATAGTGGATAAACTTCTTGAGTTTCAAATAGGTCTTTTTCCCTTTCTTATTTTTTATGTTTTTTTTTCTTTGAAAGCAGAAAAGACTTTTTGATTCACTGTGTCTGTGTGTGTGTGTGTGTGTGTGTGTTTTCCTTTCAGCTGTCTTCCTAATATATGTTTAATGGAGTGAGCCAACTCATCCTTTGTTTTTTTCCCTAGAAACATTCCAATGGCAAAGCATTCTTGTTCAGCCCAAATCCAGAGAGAGGCAGATTTTCTACCAGCTGCACTCCTAGCAACCTCCGACACTCACCACACAGTTCTTCAAACATTGCAAATAAAAGTATTTTATCCAGGAAGTCTACATTTAATCCTTCCGTCCTCTCAACAACCAAAATGAATGTCAGGTAAAAAGAATGAACCAAATATTGCTCAGAGAACAGTTTAATATAATATACATGAAACAGTAGACATGGGCTGTGATTTGAATGACTTTATCTGTATTTTAAATTTGAAAAAAAAAAAAAGACTATTTCTGATTTTTAAACACTTTTGTCCTTTATTTTCTTCTTTTTGTCACTTGCTTTTGAAATAAGTCATCTTTGAGATGACTTAGCGGAATTGTACGCTATATTTCAGGTGAGTCTCATAATGGACCCCTGTGAATGGTAATTCTCAAAAGATCATATGATGTTGATAGCTATACCCAAGATTATATAATTTTTTTAAACAAATATGTTACCTTAGGGACTCATGTTACCAAGTAGCTCTTGTGATCAACTCATATAAGCAGATTGTTTCTAACAGATGGGAAGCATATTGACACCAGAAAGTCATGACCAATTCCTAAATGTATGAGCTCATACTTGATGTGATTAAATTAAATTAAATTTCTCCTTATAACAAGATAGTCTTTGTTCTTCTGAAAAAGTAATCTAATTTTCCACTGCAGTAAAGTCTCCTTAATTTGTTATCAATAAGCTTTTAATAGTTTATTAATTTATTAATATTAGCTTACTAATTGCTTTACACTTTGAATAAAAATGTTTAGGGAGTTAAAAGAACAATCCTTATGGTATTCTGTTACTAAATACCTTTCTGCCCAGATGCTTTTATTTCAACAAAATTCCTTGTCTGCTATTGGTTGGTTTCCAGTTGTATTAATTCCTATTTTCTTCAATTTACTTAATCTGGATTTAAGTCATTGTGGAAAGTTAAGACATTGCACACTTTGCCCTGATCCTTCTTCCTTGCTAAAAATAGGATTAATCTCAATCTGTTGCATTATAATCTTTTTTTGATAACCCTTGTTTTCTGAAGAGCTTCAAAGCAGTTGCATGCCAAGAACTTTTTAGTTTTTGGAACTATTCTTTATGGCCCTAAATAATGTGGAGTTTTTTGTTTGTTTTGTTTTTTTCCTGTCTTTAGTGGCCTATTAAATTAGTTTTTTTTCTTCTCACTCCAGCACTATGTGATTCTTTGCAATATGTAAAATAAAAAACAGCACTTCTGTTTGTACCAAGATGTGCTAAGCTAGATCTTGCAACTGCACTTTAGGCATAAAATTTCTAGCTTCAAAATATAGGTTTCTTCAATATTTACTCACTGTCTTTCCATAGCTTGCAGCTTTATGTTGTGAAGTTCAGCTAGCTACTTCTTTTTCTCTTAGCGTTTCTTCTAATGTTGAAAATGCAAATTAATTCCAAAGAATATTTTTATAATGCTACAGAATCCAAATGTTAAGTAAACCACATTTCTTGGTGAAGAAGTCAAAATATGAAGGAAATCAACATCCTATAAATCTTAGCAGTACTAATTGCAGATAATGAGGGATCATAAGGTTAAAACTGCCAGCAAAGCTATTTTCAACATGGCTGCTGTTAGCTGTGAACGTCATCTTTGCAATAACATTGCACCTGTAAAACGTGTCAGAATGCGAAAGGATTAAATGTTGCATCATTGGCATTTCAGGCAGATAACTATTTTTTGCTTTCATATTTCTAATAATCCTCAGGTTCTCAGAAGCCACAAGAGATAATGAGCACAAGCGTTCTCTGACTAAAACCCCATCGAGAATGTCTCCGTATTTGGAGGTCTGCACACCTGACAGCCAGAAGAGTAGCAAAGTCTTAAGTAGGAAAAACAACAGAAATTCCAAAAATGATATGTCTGCATCCAAGGGAAAAGTAGATGGTAAATGCTTGGATTCTTTTCTAATCAAGATTTTTTTTTCCTGTTGAATACTTACAAATCTTCCATATCATAACTTCGTGTAGGTTCAGGTTATTATCTACTTATGTAATTCATGACTGATTCTTTAGAAACTGAAGTAGTTTCTTGTTGCTTCCAGTGTTTTTTGATTAAGATGTTTAGATGCTAAGAACTAAGGGTGCATAAGGCTTAAGATTTTGATATGTCTTAGCTGCCTACAGAAGAGATTAATGTAGGATGGAAAGGATAGAAACTTTTCTGGACTTTTACATCCTACAAAGTTTTGTGTAGCAGTTGCAGGGAGATCCTTCTCCCCTCTATGAGAGGGATTCCTGATGATGATCTCATCTTTGCTCTTGCAGGAAAGGGATGTGCGCCAGGCCCCTAGCTTGGGCCATCACCCTCAGCAACCCTAGCCCTTAGAACCCTAGCTCTGAGAGAGAGGGAAGGTCTTCCTGTCGCTAGTAACCTCTGTGTTAGCAGAGCTCTGCTACCTAATGTTCGAAGTGCATCAGTCCAGCTCAAGAGCCCGGAGTGACACTGCTTTGCTGTTTGAGGGGACTGAAGTTTGGCATGGTGGGGGAGGGAAAGAAGGGGGAAGACTCATGGAAAATCTGCAGTTGAAGTGTTCCACAAAATTGTTCTTTGTGTGTGAAACATCTGGATTTCCCAACGAGAGTAAAGAGGAAACAAACAACTTGCTCTTAAGGATGAGGAAATTACATAGGACAATATGTGCTGTTCCTAGTCATATTACAAAGTTATACTGTGGCACTCTAATTTTTTTTTTGTTTTGTTTTTGTTATTAAAAGTAAGCATTCTCATTCTCAAAGAATAATGAATAGCTCCAGAATAAGCATTTGTCCTCTTTCTTCTTGAGAAGATAAGGACAATATTTACATAAACCTACTTTCCAAATGCAGTGTGAGATTATGGTTTAAGATGCCTCAAGAACCACTTGACTGAATAATTAATATGTGTAAGTGACACCTTAAATTTCAATATAAAATTATGGAACTTACATAACCCATTTCTGTGGCAAATGATACATGTAATACAGTTAATGCAATAAACTAAGAATCATTGCATCCAATTTGAGGTGTAAGTAGATCATCTGCTTGCCAATATCAGCTTAACTCTACTTAAAATCAGAGCAAAAAAAGAAAAAGGATGCTAATCTGCACCTCTGCCTTCCCTTAGATCTGAACTTCGCCCTTCCTCCCGAATATATGGCAATTGTGGAATTCTGCCTTCAAAGGTGGCTGCAGGGAGCATTTTAACCCTTTGGGTTTTGGTAGCTATAAGGTGGTCTTCACAGGAACTTTCCAACCAGCTATGTACAAGGATGATCTTGCTATTTTTTTTTTTATGAACTATGGCATCTTGATTTTTTTGTAGTTCTCACGCCCTTCAAGTTTGCAGCTACTACTGCAGAACCCACAAGCACAAAGAAGACATTTGATCTCAAAGCCAGTCTCTCAAGGCCACTTCGGTATCAGCCCCATAAAGGTACTGTGATCTGGTGCCATTGGCTTTCAGCATGTCCCGGGTAGTAGAGTGCTCATAACACAGTGGTGCAAAGCACCGTGCACCAAGTTGCTCAGTATTTCTGCATGCCTGATTAATGCTGCACTCCCACACAACAGTTGCAAATTGCACTTTGTGCGCTGATATAAAATTTGTAAATAGGGAGGCTCTGAAAAGCATATACTGTCAAAGAATACATCCTTATCACCTTTATTCACATTAGTACACAAATGAATGTCTTTATGTTTCTCTGAAATAGATATGTTCAGAAAATATGACTTTTTAATTAAGCTTTATTCTATAAAGTGCAATGGTGCTGGAGAAGCAAAGCAGTGCTGTTGGTGTAAAGGCTGTTGTTCAGAATTCAGTAATATTCAGAATACTACTTGCCTGCTATAGGCTGATGAACCTGGTAATACAGCTGAAGATGTTCACATTTAACCTCAAAGACAACAAGCAAAATAAGCTAGTGTGATATTCAAAATAAGAAAAAAGTGAAGCATACTGATACTAATATACTAATTCACTGAATTCTTTGCCTCTAAATTATAGGAAGACTAAAACCATGGGGAGAATTCAAAGAAAATGCTGTCCCAAATAAGCCTGTGGATAGCAACATCTCCTCATACAAGAAAGAGTACAAGCAGCCACATCTCCGGACCAGGTTAGTACAACGTTATTTTAAACAACAGTATCATGTTAGCTTTTTAATGAGCAATTTGCTTGAATTTTTACATATCTTAAAATATATAGTTCAGAAAAGAATGTTTTTAAGGCAATTTTTGCCCCCGATCATCATCTAGTATCAGGGAATTTAGAAAGATAGAAGGAAGATATGAATCAGATACAGGCTTTTATTCTAGGCAAGTTATTAATCCTAGCACTTGGGCATTTGTCTTAATCTCAGAAAGCAGCTGTGAACATTGACATGTTTTTACTTTCTATATTAGATTTGTATCTCTAAGGGAAAACATTGAAGTTTATAGCTGATCTAAAATGGAATTATTATCCGCCCAATAGCTAATGCAGCACATCAGTAAAATATATGTTAAGCTTGGGTTGATGTATCCTAAGCGTTGGTTAGCTTAAGATCGCTTTTGGTTGCTTGTGGCTCTACTTAAACCTCTGGTTTGATTATTTCCCTCTTCCCTTTCAGGGAAGAAAGACGTGAGAAGCATGAGCAGGAAAGAAGAAAGAAAAAGGCTCAGGCTCTTGGAAACCGCAGAGGACTAACTGCGGCTTGAGAGAAATCAGAAATAGCTAAGAGTTCACTGTAAATACTTCCTCTCATGTAAATATTTGTGCTATTTGTGCATTAGAGTATGTGTCAGGTTGCTATTACCAGTAGAATCCAAAGAGCTTTGAATAAGACGTCGCAGTGTGTCTGGGCATGTTCTCATGACTGATTCTTTCAGGGAGCTGCTGTAAATTCTAACCTTCTAGGAGCTTAGAATTACCTCCAGTTGCTTAATATTTTCATTTAACTCTGGAATTGACTGGATACTCCAAACTTTGAATAAAGGCGTCTTCAATAAATAGATTTGGTAAGTCTGTGTATCTAAAAGATGGCAAAGGAGAAAATGTAAGTGAAAAGATGCTCAAAGAGCCTCCTTGTAACTTATGTCAGGCTTCCCCACCAGAGTGCATTCCTTACTCACCAGAACATGTTTTTTGGATAGCAAGTTTCAAAATGTTCCACTGGTAATTAAAACAGTTGGAGATACCTGCTTGCCCCTTTCCCCAGACTGATCCTTAAGTCTTCTGATATGTAATTAGAAATGGTGAGTAACTGGCCTAACTATGGAGTAGGAGGGAATCTCCAGTGCAATGAAAAATATTCCAACTTTTTGAGAAACTAAAAGGCTTACAGCATAACTTTAAAATATAACTTTAAAAAAGTTACTATTAAAAAGTGATTTTTTTCAAGTTACCAGATGAATGCTTTGTGAACAGTTAAGATTTTGCTCCCTTCTATGCTAAATAGCAGTTTACAATATAACAATTATTCTGCTTTATTGTTCTCTCTAATGCTTTAAAAATGCTGGAAGTATTATTGAGGCACATGTAGTATCTCACATTTTGAGGCCAGTTTTTCTGTTAGCAGGGGGAAAAAAAAGACAGAAAATTTATCTGGATTTATTATGGATAAAGTAGTGACTGGAAAGGTAACTTAGCAATTGTAACCTCATAGCTAGAATTGTGAGCAAATAATTGAGCTTAGGCTTCTATCACAAATATGCTGAAATGTCAAGCTCAAGCAACTTTTTATAAACTTACATTGGGGAAAAATAAATGTTTTGTATATATCTTGGTTTTGTATCAGTGGTCATATTATTTGCATGCACTGTGTGCGACTGCTTCCATAGTACAGCACTGATTTTGCTCACATCTCTGTTACTGCTCGTCTCCTTCTGTGACTGTGCTTGGTTTTCCCTACTGATTAGCTTGTCTCCCCGCTCTGGAAGGCACATGTGTTCTGAAAACCAGAAAGGATAAGCATGGCCCCTGTTTTGCTCCTAAACTCTTACTTAATTCTGTGCAAGAAAATGACAGTGTAGGACATTATGTTGCTTTGTCGAGGGTCTCTAAATTAAAGGTACATTTATTGTTTTAAATATTCTTTAATAAGGACCCTGGGGAGGATGTTTTCATTACACTAAGATTATAGAACACGCGGAACTAAACTTTTCAGCAATTGTTCTTTAATACTTGAATATTGTCATAAATTAGTGGACAACAACCTCATCAAGGCTGGAGATACTGAGCTTTTGTGATGCCCTCTGAGCCTGTGATTCCCGCAGTGCCGCTGAGTTCAGCTGACTGCCCCCCCCCCCCCCCCTTTTTTTTCCTTTAAGCGTGATGAGATGCTGCCACTTCCATGCTGCTTCTGTAACCCTACAGCCCAGCAGTGGTGGTCATCAAGCTCTTATTTTAGGGAACTGACAGAGATGCATGGTGTCAACAACTTCTTCCCTTCATCTCTATGTTGGAGCTTTACAACTTCGTATAGTGGAAGGTGTTGAAAAGAAGTAGAGCTCTTATCACCTGTTCTAAAGCAAAGAGTATCCTTCCCCTTTGCCCTTCCACCCCCAAAGTCCCTGCATCAAGCCTAAAGACTCCAGTCCTGCGCCTCTTTCCCCTTTGGGTCCTGTCCCTTGCTATTTTCAGAAGCTGAGTCACTTTTTATTGCTCTTCTTTAGGGTACAGATTCTCATTGAAGTTGTAAATGTTTGAAGGGGCAACATGATGTCTGCAAACAGTGTAATATACTAGAAGATGAAGGCAGTATGTACAAAAAAAAAAAAAAAAGCTAGAACAAGGTCACAAACTTGGTTTTATTTCCTGTAATTATTAGGCTAGAAACCAAATTATATAGTCAATGGTTCCTCTTTTGTAAATGTACATCAAAAGTTGCCTTGGGCTCTGCTCCATTCCAGCCCATGTGTGGGTGGTCTTGCTAGAATTTCATGCTTGGCAGCTAGAGGATGCTACAGCCAACAGCTCACGCATTTAACTTTTCAGCATTACACAGTCATCTTCACATTGTTGAACCCCACAAATTAAGGAGAGTTAGAAAAATTAAGCATCTGAACTGTACTCCCAAAGCCACCAGGACCATCTCAGGTTTAAGTATTCAAGTCATATTTCTCATATGCAAATTCTTCAGTATGAGCTCTGTCATTGATCAGGCCAATAAAATCAATCTCCAGCTGGAATGGGCCATTCACTTTGTCCCCCAGGGTGAATCCAAGGGTGCTGATCTAGTTTAAAGATACAGACATTAGAATAGGGTTTGTAACAATACTAAAATCAAACAAAACATCTAACACTCTGCTATTACAAAATTCCAGCCCTTTTGAACAGTGGTATTTATCAAAAATTAGAATCTCAGCTTTAATCACTTCTGGGACTTCTCTCCAACTAGTATCAACATGACAATTATATTTTCAAAGTCTGTTGCAATTTTTGGGTGAGAAATGTGTATTTAAACATTGAAAATAACTTTCATAATAAGTGAAATTAAATGCCTGGTATAAAAGTGAAAGTCTGCCAAAACAGATGCTTTAGAACCCATGGTACTTCTACTGATTTTTATAGTAAGGTAAGTTTCTTAATCACTGTTCTTTAACTAGACTAGACTTCTGCAATAGAAGAATGTCTCATAGGGCCTTCCCCTGCTGTTTTCTGCCACCACTTTGCAATTTTAAAAACATTTTATTCCAACCACAAGAAATTCCATTAAAAAAAAAAAAAATCCATGCAGCTCAGGCGTGTTTCCTACCAGCATGTGGCTCACCAGAAATATTTCTTGGATACTCTCTATCATCACTCCACTTTGACAGCCTCCAGCATATCATTTCTCGGAACAAATCGGATAATGCGGTGGAGGAGCATCTATTTAACACCACGTACTCATGAGCTCTGCCAGAACTACAAGTCTGATCTATATTCATGATTTTAAGGACTGCTACTTATACAGAAAAATAAGACTTAGGAAATGCCAGATTATTTGGGTTTAGCCACAGGAACTGAGGATAAATACATATTGCAGATAGATGCTAAGGATGTAACAATAAAGAAAATAATCAAACACAATCCTAAATTGCTGCTTTATCTTCAGAACCAGATGATACCCCAGAGTTTGCAACCTGCCTCTTGGCACATACAGCCTGAAGAGTTTTTAGAGCTTAATCTCTGTAATTCCTTTTGTTGCAGATGATGAGAGGAGTTAGCCAAAGTGTGCTCTAAGCAACTTAGACCTGTAGACTGACTATTTCCTACCTTTTCAGTCCTCTTTATCCACCCTGTGTTTGCTGTAGTTGGGTTCTGGGAAAACTCCTGAATACACTAGAGACTGAGATGTTTTATCAAGAACTGTTATATACTTTGACTTCACACTACTTTCCCTATTATAGACTTCTGACAATGGCATTAGTAAAGCTACATATCGTATTATAAGGAATATCAAGTTCATGACTTTTATGGGAATCATAATTATTCTGTCTGTGCAAGAGCAAGGATAAGACAAGGGATGAAAACCAGGTGTAGAGGGATGCTTAGATCAAATACCATTTTATCCCCTTAACTCCCAATAAACATTTTAAAACACCTTATGTAGTTTTATATTTTCACTAACTTTATACTCCAAATCCTGTCAAATTCTTCAATGTCTTGAACATAGAACACAGATCTTCTATACAACTTGCCCTCTTTCCTATTTTTTTTTTTGTTAAGGCAATTGGGAGCTGAATGTTTGATTATAGGTGATTCTAATCCTGACTCAAGTACTGGCCCATTTTTTCATTTCTTAATACTTTTTCCCCACATTGTTTTTCTTTTGATAGTCATTGCATAGTCATTGCATCTCCCCTCATTAGTCTACCCAGTTGTAGGAAAAAAAAAAATCAAAAAACACAGTTTGCTTAGAGAGTCTGATGAAACTAAAACAGTTCCTACTATAAATATGTCAGTTTATTGGTCACTATCAAGGTCACTGATGTTACACACATCCTCATATAACATATTGCAAGATCCCTTACACTCTTCTGTCAGGGAAGAAGTTTATGATAGATATTTACCTTCACTGTTTTTGAAAGTACTTTATCAACTCCCATTTTAGGGTCTTTTTGTGATTTTGATCAGATTAAAAAAAAAAAAATTTAAAGCCAAATAAATTGTGAGACTTTTCTTGTCTATCTTCATTAAGAAAAAAAAGACAGTATAACTACTAAATTGAATAATTTAAAGGCAAAGGAAAGCACACATAAAAAAGAAATATGTAACTCATATAATATGGGAAGCTTTTCATTTTGAAATTCGTAAATGTTACATGTCCCAAAGATTTCAAAAACAGTCTTAAGCAAAACTTTAGAATAATGAGACCCATAAGAAACTTGCCTTGTCTAACCAGATAGGATGCTGGTTATCCTGGATTCTTCCTCGACTGGAGAGAAAGAACTTAGAGAACGGAATCTGACAAGAAAAGAAATAGAGACTTTAGTGTCAACAGTATATAAAGCAAAAACTTGTTTAGAAAGGCAGGCTTTTCAAAAAAGAACCATCTTTCTGCATCTGGCAGCAGCAGCACCACCCTTGTAGCTCGCCCCAGGCCCATGCTAGTCTGTGCTGCCTGTTTCTAGCTGTTGTACGAGGGTATTTGCCATTGGGTACCAGAAGCACTACTGAACAGACTACATATTTAAATGGAAACAAAGTACGACTGTTGAAAGAATTACTGTTTCACAAAGGTAGGGTGTATATCCCTGGACCTGTATCCTTCTGTTTCAGAAGTCTCAAAAACAAAAATATATTTAGCAGAGTTTTATTTTTTAGGATTTATTAAGTCATTAATTTACCTTGATATCCTCCCAGTACGGCCCTCCCCTGGTGAACATGAAGTAGCTGTACAGATCATCTTTGTGATGCGAGAAGTAGGGATCCGTATAAATGTTGATCATCCAAGGTCTACCGTCACCACGGACACGTAAGTACAGACAATTGAAGTTTGACCAGTCAAAATATTTCTTCTTACCAAAAGATCCCTATAAAACATTAATAAATAGCATTATCCTGGCCTATCCTAAATGGGAATTTTCATTATGATAAATATAGTGATACTGCTTTGATCACTTGTCTTTATTTCAAATAATATCTACTGTGATGCACTGGAAACTGGGTTACTCTTTCATCACACTAGTCAGTGATCTTACTGCATTTCAGCACTGTATTAAAGCCCACAAAATACTGTATCATCACTCTAAAGGCCCAGACTTTAATTATAAATCACAGCAGTGTAACTATTAGAAATGAGACCTCCTTCCTAGGACCAAACGCCCTACCAGGCAAGTACAGAAATGCTACAATGATGGATCAGGACTGCAGTTCATTAATATTTTGTGTCAGTGATAGATTATTTCTGAAGAAGCTGCAGGAAACTGAAGTGAAATAACTTATTCCCTCTGGTAATTTTCCTTTGTGAAAGACTGATTTGAGCACTGACACCATGTGCAAGGTTTCCAATATCTTTTGTCATTAACAGTGCCTAATTATACGGATTACAGGCATATCTAATTCTCATCCCCCCCCCTTTTTTTTTCCCCCCTCTCAACTGAAGATCGTAAGTTCTGGTATTGCAATTTGCAGACAGACAGACAGGTCCAAGAACCTTCAGAAACTTATACTGAGGTCACTGCAGCAACTGTAGCTGGCAGAGCTATTCTTGGCCAAAATTGCTTAAGCCAAGTCAAAAATAGCATCAAAAAAAACCAGAGGTTTCCCATCTATTTTTGCAGCACTATGGTTACATATCAACCTTCCTTTTACAGGAAATATGATCAATGATAAGCAGTGCATTAATACAAGGACTATATTGATTTTATGCTTTTGCCATTTTTGAGGCTTTTACTTAAACAAAAAAAAAAAAACCACCAAACCAGAAATAACAACAAACAACCACCTCCTCCTTGCCAGACTTTGTATGTATGTCATCACCCTGTAACCTTGACCTGTGTTGTAAAGACAGACCGATGAAACCTCCACTACTTCAGTTAGGATGTGTAAGGCTTAGTCATATTTGCACAAGTCAGTAGCAATCCTGGGAATTTATCTTGGATGAAATTCAACCTAGTGTTCTGCTCCCTTGGCCTTGGGTTGCCCTTAAGATCAGCATTGCCATTTTAATTAGTGTTCATCTACCCCTCATTCTCCCATTGATTTTGCTTGCTCATGTGCTTTGTTCTCCAAAACTTTAGTTAAAAAAAAAAAAAAAAGTTTTACCTGTGCTCTTGCACCAAGTTACAGACAACAGAATAGACAAAAAAGATCTTATGCATGAAACCAAAATGTTCTTTCATCTTTTTAAAGGTTTTTTTTTAAAGAAAGCAGCAGTATCAATAGTAAATACATGCATTTTCTGTTCTGCTTTTCTCAGTTTAGAGGTACCAGAGATTTGTCTCCTGTTTTTTTCTGCTACTAGGATTCAAATCTTTAACTACATTTCAGAACACTATTGTCTATGAGAGAACACTTTTGTCTCTATGAGGGGAAAAAAAAAAAAAGAGAGAGAATCTCATTCACCTAAAACAAGAGCTTGACGAATGGGCTGAGTTAGAGCTCCGGAAATTCTTTCTCATGACACATTCCATTAACTTCAAATTTAGAAAGGTTCATTTATATTGATCATACCAATTTTGGATATGAAGTTTCATTACAGATCCTTCACTTATGAGGAGAGGTGTTAATGAGATTTCCTACTGTACAGCACGAGATGATTAAACATAAAATATTCCTTTTCTGAGAAAGGAGAACCAAACCTGAAAAAAAGCTTCTGAAAAAAGTTCATTCCAGGTCAAAGGATACAGTAGTAACTACATCCATGAAACCTAATGTTCCTGAAGGTGAGGACTGCAACAAGCTGGCCACTTCTCCTTATGGAGATAAGAATGTCACCAAAAGCTCCCCCTGCTGCTGCTCCCATCACAGTTCTCTGATTAAATAACAACTGCTAAGCTGTACTTACCACTAGTGGTCTGGATCTCATACTACAGTATCCACTGTATTGTGTCTCCCCATCACGAGGTACTTCAGTATTGAGGGTCCCATATAACAGGGCAGTCTGGTTATTCCTACTCTGTGTTAAGTACACTTCACTTTTTCCTCCAATCTCTACATCAGAAGAAATTACCCATTTCTTTAAATCTTCTTGGGTCCGAAAGATCCAAACAACCCTTGTCTGTTCTAAAAGGTACTCATCGAGTGGACGGCCTTCTGGTCCTGTTAAGTGATCTTTTGTCTCCTGCTTCAGCAATTTTAGTTGAGTCTTTAAGGTATCTAATCCCTTCTTAAAACTGAAATCAATCTTTTGCCAAGATGGTTTTCTTTCAGGCAGCCACCCTGGCCTCCTATAGCTGCTGTATGATTCTGACACAAAATCAGTGGGGAGAGATCCAAGAACAGGGTGCCAGACTTTGTGCCGGCAGCATCTACTGTGCCTGAAAGCACCGCTCAGCAATGTCAGAGCCATAATGGTAAAGCTGGAGGATTCTCTTCCAAGACAGCAATTATCAAGCTTGAGATTTATTTAAAGACAAAATTGATATCCACAGGTATCTTCAGGTAACGCAGCTTATCTCCACCTTCAACGAAAAAGTTTGTTTTAAAAGAGCATCAGTTAGAAATCTAATCCACTGTACATATTACATTTGTAAAGTTCTTTAGTATTTTTAGTAATTTCTGCCCTATGTCTTCTTTCCCTGGTGACCTATGGAAACAAGAAAAAAATAAGTTCAGTCCATCAAATAAAACTGAAAAACTAAACCAATTCTCCTTCATCCACGCACTATAAATAAGTAGTAGTAGCAGCAAAAACAGCCTTACAAAAATATTTTTGGAAGATGGTGCCAACACAGCTAGAAAGTGCTGTTCCCTGCAATTATGACAAATTGGTGCCCTACAGGCTGCAATGACAGTCTCAACTGACAGTTACAGATGATAATATACATTATATGTCTGAAAATGCTGAAACAGCAATCATAATACACCTTCTTCCATCATGAAGGGGCATCTTGTCCCCCTCAGTGTGTCTATTTCGGGAGTATAAGGAGGTTGCAGAAATTAAAATTAAAAAAAAAAATTGCATGTATTTGCATGTATTTTTTTTTCAGTAAAGTATGGAACATTTTGAATTTTTTTCTTCATTTTGTTTTGTGGCACTGCAGGTAGGAATGGCCATGCCAGACAGTTATTCTCTAATTGGTAATGGAGAGCCTTAACACCCAACACTCTGCACAGAGGCTTTTATATCTCCAGCTCACGAGATCACACTCACTAGTTGCTGGGGGCTGGGCACGTGTGTTTGGTTGGTTTTTGGTTTTTTTTCCCTGCAGAATCCAAATCCAAAACCAATGCCAAATCCGTTCATCCTCCCAAAGATTTTAAGAAAGGAGTCACTCAAATTTTGCTGGACCCCTTAATTTATTAATTCCCCTTAAGAACTTTTAAATTACAAAATCCACTCTCCTCCTTCACTAACAGCACGCTGCGGGCTTTGAAGTCTGTACAAGGCCATCACCACCACCGCGGAGCAGCAGGAGGATCTCCTTTCGTTTCCTCTCCATTCCCTTCCTTTCCTTTTCCCTTCCCCTCCTTTGCCTTTTCCCCTTATCCCCTCTCTCTTCCTCTGACACGGGCGCTGGCCGATGCAGCTCGCGCTCCCCAGCGCCAACCGCCGCCAACCGCCCCCTCCCGGCAGCCCCCGCGCCCAACGG